ACTGAGTGTTGGATTTCATTATTACTACTTTTTTAATATTATTTTTTTGTTATATGTAAATATTGTTTGTGTATTCTCTGCCATGCCATCATCTCTTATTGAATGATTGTTTGATTTATTCAATACTTCAAGTTTTATGAAAATCATTCCTTTGAATTTCGATATGAAATATGAAATTTTTGATGTTTTGCATTGATATGTTTTGATTCTCGTGTAAATATTTGATTGTTTGATTGATATGCACTGATTAATTGATATGTTTTGATACAGTGACATTGATATGTTTTGATATGAAATAAAATTTTGTAAAACGATTCGTTTTTGTTTAACTGATCCTTGGGATATTGATGGTTTCTTGATCCATCAAGTGTTTACTTGACCAACGAGGTATTTAGTCTTGAGATCTTGTTCAAGCCTGATGCTTGAACGTCGGCAACTTCGGGTGATTGTTTCATTTCGTCGCCTTGTAGAATGTTGTGTTTTTGGCCGCACAGTCCTTGAAAATAATTTAGTGGTGGATTGGTCAGCGTAATTTGACTGTGAAAGAAATTTTTAATGGGTTTCCAAGGTTTTGAATTTTTCAGCTCATTGACAGATTTGTTGTGTTGAAAAATGACCGCAATCGGTGTTCCAATCAAGATCCTTCACGAGGCTGAAGGTCACATCGTTACACTGGAAACATCAATTGGTGAGGTGTATCGAGGCAAACTGATTGAGGTCTTTATGAAAGTTTAATTCATTTTGTTTATCTGATTGCAGTGGAATTGAAGCGCAGAGTATTTGCAGTTTCAAATGTATTTGAGTGATTTTTCAATCGTTTAATTTTTTANCTAATATTGTTACTTGATGTTATTTTGAAGTGAAGTTCTCAGTTTAGTGAGATATTTGTTGCATTTGTTTGCAGGCAGAAGATAATATGAATTGTCAAATGAGTGATGTGAATGTAACATTCCGTGATGGTCGAACGCATCAGTTGGATAACGTTTTCATTCGTGGGTCGAAAATACGTTTCATGATTTTGCCGGATATGTTGAAGAATGCACCGATGTTTAAGAATATTGGACGAGCGCAGAAGGGTGCAGTTGGCATGGGAATGGGTGACAACAGGGACGGACGGACATTCCGAGGTATGGATCGTTGAGATTGAACGATTCATTGATTTGTTGATGATAACTTTTTGAATAGTTTCGATGGAAGCGAGCGAACACATTCAATAAAGACAATAAGTTAAGAGGAAATTCTTTAGATGTTGGAGGTGATTTAAATTAATTTCAGGACGAGGTACATCGTTCCGCGGCCGTGGAGGACCAGGTTTGCGGGGTGCACCTCGCGGAGGACCAGGCGGTGTTCCGCGTCCACCGTTCCGAGGATAATCCATTTGTGAATGTGTCACTCTGCGTGATTATCTATCCAATTGACTCCAAAAATTTCGTTTCGCAAAAAATTCGGCGGAAATGTCATGAAATTATCCCAAATTCCGATCATATTCACAGCTATTGTTCAGTCGTTATTGTTAACCTCGCTCGAGCACTTAATATTTATTGTTTTAATTGTCGTTGATTTGTACTCTTTGTTTTGGTCTACCATTGTTGTCTTTAAAGAATCATCAAACGTTGTTATCGGAGTCATTTGAAAACTATCAACTGACGTTTTTCCATTGACTTATCCATTGCATTGGTTTGTTTTCCAGTGAAATCGCTCACTGAATATATTCGTTTCGTTTTTATTTTTTGTATTGTCGTATTTTTGTCATTCTACAATCTACAATATCAGATGATTGGAACTCACTATGGAATAAACTAATGATATTCATTATGAAATTTGTTTTGAGTAAAATTACATTTCATTGCACAATTGAAACCAGATTGGTCTGCCTACCAACACTTGAGTATCGTACCATTTCTTGATGATTTAATGGTGGTGATCGCAAGCGATGCGTTGTTGATTTGTGTCGCATTGTGATGGTTTTAGACGAATTTTGTTTCGTGGAAAAAACTGAGACGGTGATAAAGATTGCTCAAAAATTTCGAGTTCTCAAGAAGTTGAGCCGAATGAAATGAATTATGATAAATTTCTTAGTTGGAACTTCAAGTGGTGCTGTTATGAATTGTGACGAGATGAATGTTTAAAAACAGAGATGGCATTGAAGGCATTCATGCGTTGATGTTTGCTAGCGAGTGGATATATGTGATTTCTTTCGAAATCGGATGGATTTCTTTTTTTTTTCGTGGGAGAAAATTTGGAAGAAGTTGATGTTTTCTGAAATTAAAGGTGTCAATCGGTTTATGATATTTCCGAATTGTTGAAAATGAGTTTTGTGGAACATGCATCACCGTACCACCAATATCAGCAGTCTCCGTCGCAAATGGCTGCGGCTAGCGCTATCGGCTCACCACCTGACCAAATGAATCCTCAGACGTCTCATGTCGGTCCAAATGTGAATCCAATTCAGGGCACTACAAAATTGTCAAATTCTCTGAACGAATGGTTCGAACAAATGGTCAGTGATTTCCGTATTTCTGTATGGTTTGAGTTGTTTTTGAAATTGAGAATTTCTTTGCAAAAAGATAATCGTTTTCTTATTTGTATTCAGATTGAGATGCGACGTCTAAAAGCATTGCTCTGTCATGCAGCATTTTCGTCAGCACTCTATTTGCTGTTTGCGTGTGTGTTGCAAATTTCTTTGGTTCACCCGATTGGCACCATTTATGGTTAGTCTTTGGATGAGTTCAGTATAATTTTTAAGAGTTTCTTTTTGAGTGGCAAAGAGCTTTTTCTGAAGTTTCATTTGTGGATTCAATTGAAAGTATAATCGAGTAGTCGAAAATGAGGGAGATGAAT